CGCAGGACCTACAGGATGGTAGAGACGTTGGTGAGCAGGTAATGCAGGAAATAAAGAGAAGTAGTGGTCGGAAGCCGAGGGAAGAATCACGTGCACGGCGCTGTGGCAACTGCGGAGAGACTGGTCATAATACGCGCACCTGTAATACTATAGAGGAAGTATCTGAGGAAGAAATTTCTGAATAGTGTTTTTTAATTAGAGGCGTTGTGGTAGAGTTCTTACAATTTCAATCGCGAGTGTAGAAAATTTTGGCCGGTTCGCTTATTTGGCCGGTTCGCTTGTTTGGCCGGTTCGCTATACATGCACGTTATTTCTTTTTTATTTCTAAATAAACTTTTTATACTAAAAATAAATATTTTAAATTCTACTTCTCTTTTTCTAAGATCTTAGCTATTACCTTAGAATTAAAGCTAAAAAGAAAAGAATAGATTTTTTCTATTAAACTTTTATTTCTTAGATTACTCTTATATTACTTAAAGAATAGCTATAAAAGCTAGGAATATAAAATACTCTTATATAGTAGTTCTTTCTAGCTATTCTATATTAGCTTTAGAGTACTGTTATATTTTTCTCTTTAAAAAGCGTAAAGTAAAATTTGAAGTATATAGATTTTAAAAAAATTAGTAAATCAACGAAATGAAGCTTATATTAAATTCGACTATAACTCGAGTAATGAAAACTACTAATTAACTTAATATTACTTACTAAGTACTAAATTAACTTATAAGTAACTTTAGTAGTATTAGTCTAGATTCTTATAGTACGCCTAGCTTACTAGCTAGGCTCTAGTGTCACGAATCTCGTGTTAGCATGTGACCAGTGAAGACCAGGCGGCGTCCTGACAGGTTAAGCACTATCATGCTCTTATAGCGAATAGGGATCGGCTAGACTAGCTAAGCGATCCAAGGATTTCATTATAGTCACGTGACGGATCTTTGGATCTGGATGGATCTTGGGGATCCTAGGATCCAACCAGATCCATGAGCAAGAAGGTTCTATATAACACTGGCATGTCTGCCATTAGATAGGAGCTTCGTGCTCAACTTAGTTATCAATCTTATCATATTAGTTTGACATCTTTGATACAAGTAACGAGTTCACTT